GTACGCCACCCCGTAAATCCCAAGGAAAATCGATAGCCTACCAAGGTGTGATCAGAATCCACGCAAGTACTCCAGAACGAGAGGTAATCCATGATGGAACCACGCTATCTGTAACTTATAACAATGTGATTTATTTGGGTCCACTGCTGACCAGCTACAAGAGGACGCCAAGTGACACTTCGGCGCACCCTGTCTACATGCCGTACTACTAAGAATCAGCTAGTGTTCCTCGCACTGCTACAGCAGTCGATCGCCGTTGTCCGTCCGTTCGCAGTTGGTTTGTGGCATTCGGTTCCGGATTTGCCTGTCACTGTGGCCTCCAAAGGACAGTCATCGAACGCCAGCGCCTATAAGAGGGACCATGGATGGCTTGCGCTTCACCACCCACATCTCCATCCACACATCCCATATCCAGTGTAAACCCGAAGGAATATGACCGGGAGGCATGTGGATGGGAGCCACGTTTCACCAACGGAGCCGGCCCACACTACTTCACAGACAAACACAAGCACGCTGTACTTAGAAAACAAGCACATACAGTGCGGTGGCTGGACCGTAGTCCGCTCCAAACTGGGCGCATGGAACCACTCTTCGAGCTTAGCACGGCCACAAACACCGTGCATTCCGTCCCCTCCAGCATGGACAAGGTAATGGGTAATGGACAGGTAGACATCTTGTCAACATGCCATCAAGAAACAGCCAATCACTTGAAACGACAATATCACATAATAATTATCGAATAAACCGTACGGATATGCGGTCTTAGCTCTTCGCTAAGTGAGCATATGTAACAAATTGATTATCAACAAGCCGCGATATGTTCCATACATCAGAAAAAGATTTTTGAGAAAATGCCATAACGCGAAAAGGCTAAGGAACCTAACCACAATCTGCTTAAGCGATGTGTCTAAATAAGAAGAAGCTTATTTAGACAGACATTTAAATGGTCTAACAAAGTAAGCATTTACAAAATATAGCAAACCAATCACTCAGCACGTAGTTAGTAAATCGAGTGCAGCGCACCTACCAATGCTACGCCGATTCTGCCGACGCTCTCAGAAGCACCCGTCGTCGTTTCGATGCTGGTTCTGCGTGGTCTCGCTCGTGACTCTAGGCCTTCCTGACTCAGGCACACGCGACCACATGTGCTACAGCACCATGCGCTCGCTGTCGATGGAGTACAATTCAACGACGATCGTGGCTTCCTCAACTGCCGCTTTTTTTCCGCATACGCGAGGACTTTCTCTTGCACCTCGGCAACGGCCTTCGTGATCAGATCGCTCTATGCACGCGGATCAACCGCCTTTGATTCCCAACACCTGAAATATACGTTAGAATGTGAGAGGCTCACTTTGATCTTGTCCTGGTAACGTAACTTTGATTTTCCTGCATGCCCTTTCCTCACACTCAGTTGGCCATACAGCAGCTGTTTCGGTATCCGCGTCGAATCCACACGCCACACGTGACAGAGCCACCGTTTGAGGTTAATCCCATACGTATCACCTAACTGAGGTTCTGATCAGTTCAAAAGACCTTGCGCATTCATACCCCTGCAAGATCTACGATATCTGGACTGCTAACTGCCTAGTTGCGTGTTCATTTCGTTTTAGAATGTGTCCTTGCTATCGTCATAACTGCAGTCGGTGCGGTATAAACGGAAACCACCAACAGCATCTAGTACTACTTCGTGAATCATTCTTAGTTGATGTCTTCAAACGGACTGCACACAAACGGCTGTTCACGGGAATCCAATCAACCAACGATGACAGCCTTGGAGCTGAGAACAATGCCACCCCAATTCGACCAGTGATTTCCGTATCAGCGTCTCAGAATGCTTGCAATCAATAGTGAGTGGACAAGCCGGGCGCACTTATTTTAATATCCACATGAGTTTCTGACGGGCAACGTAGGTCGATACCCAGGGTGCCCAACGTGCATGAGAGTACAGACTAATAATTTTAGTGCTAACGTCGTATGCCGCCAACGAAACGACTGTGTTGCTTGATATGGAGCTGTTATAGATTGGCGTGCAGCGTCTAGTGCGGGCAGATCGCTGCATGTGGTATGGCCTCAGTGGTATAACGGCTACTGTTTATTAAACTGGGAATTATAGAAGGAAGGTTAGTAATGGGAGCCGGCATGGGATTAAAACAGATGGAATAGAAAAAAAGGGAGACGCCAGCAGTAGAATGTTTTCGCTTATCCGCCCTACTGGATGCAGCAGATAAGACGAGCCTTGAAAATCTTCGCGACCCCTGATGCCGGATGTAGTTAACGTTTGAGGGAATTGTCATAGTTGTACTTGGGTTGAAATACTGCCAGGGTGCCCAGACCTAGGTAAAAGAACGATTAGAGTCCTCAACCAAAGTCTTTGGATCAAAAGCCTGTCCGCAGGGCGGTGGCAATGATTTGGTTTTGCAAGATGGACGCCATCCCAATTCAAACCCAAACTTGGAGGAACAAGAGACTGCGTTTGCTTGATCTCTAATCATTGACCAACCTAGAAGTGGCTCTCAGGAGGTCTGCTAGCGGTATCCAGTATAGCTCAACGGATCAAAGAGGTACGGAAACCTTTCTCGTCATGCTATGCTCCCGTCTCGCTGTGAAGAGGTAGAAATTCCACTGCTGAAGTGGCTGAGCGGACAGTTATTTTTGATCATTTCCGTCACAAAGCAACGAAGGAAAGAAGCTACTTGATATTCCCAGTGCAACCGTACTTCCAATAGGGAACTCAAGGGACTGGGTATTTTGAATTCAAGCTTCGTGTGAGCTGGGACAGTACTTCGTTCCTCCGAGTAACGCTACTTTTCGTTATCTTACGCGCCGTTGAACCAGCCAAAGCTCCAGGTAAATTCTAAAACTCCTAGTCAGTCATAGTTTAAACGCTCTGCTGAAATTTTGAAGCCGAGTACTCAGCTAAATTAGTTTCCATGCTTCAGTCAAACCGGTCGATGCCTGAGAACTTCATTTTCAGTTCGGAAGTCTTGGTTTGGACGCTTCAAAGGCAATCTTCAGTGGGTATTTGAAACGAATCCTATCAGGATCCGGTTTACTCACCTCATTCGTTCTTGACAACCAGGTTTCTGCGATATTGCTGAATTGCGGAGTGTGAATCTACATGTCAATTGAGAAGCTTAAATGTTGTGCGCTGCGTTTAAGCGGGAAATGTGCACCAGTCTGTGCTCACTGGGGCTTGGTCGTAATTTAAGTATGTACTCCAACTTGACCGATTGTCTTGATCTACTGTGTTCCACCTGTGGTTGATGGCAATGTGGTTACTTTTGCCCCAGGTCATCGCGAAATTTTGATGGGCACCAAGGGACGCGATGTGAAATTTTGTGCTGCACGCCAATACTTCTAGCATGAAGATTGTGATCGGCGCATGATTGCTGAAATCGGTCTCCATTGTGTCGGCATTTGTTCACTACGAGACGGACTTCCAACAGTTGCTAAGACCCCCCATAGGCGACCCACTTGGACATTCATATCACCAGTGGCAATCGCGATATCAGTAGTATTCACCATGTGGATAAAAGTTCATAGCTACCGATATAATTCGTCTTTAATACCCTCGGAACTGCATTCGGTTAGGGGGTACGCCGAAACGATGAAAAAGCGCCTTTTTCTCCGAGGATACTTATTTGCTTTGATGAAAGCCCGAAGTGATGCGGCTTACATGCGGCTGTTCACTAGCATTCAGTCGAGGTGATTGCCTAAAACACCGACACCACAAATAACTTGTATCCTTGAGCAGATGTCGCCAGAATTGAGGGGTGTGGTCATTGTCGGCAGGCTCGGAGCTGAGAAGTGGGAGGTTCGATACAACGCTTTCATCTTGTGTGTTTCTGAGGCAGTAGCTTTTGTTGCCCATTGACCGATTTGATCCAGAGTGAGGACATTGAGCGAACCAATGTATAATGAGACCCTTAGTTGAGGGACTAATTGCATTAGCTGCGAGCTTATCGGTTGTCTTTCCTAGTAGATAGGGAAGTAGGACTTCAAGTGAACGGAAGCGCAGCGCATGCCATCGACCTCTCTACAAGCTACTAGAACGATGCTGACACGGTTGATTTATCCATTGACCCATCTGATGTGACTGGCTCTGATGACACTTGGGATGTGCCAGCTAGCATAGCTCAGTGTGTCACTGTGATGCACAAAGCACCGCGATGTATTTACAAAGCAGTGATCAACGCAATCCAAGACCCTGTGTTCTATTGTCCGGCTTCACATACACACAAATTTCTCTAGCTTAAAAAACCACCGTCACACATGGACTTCCACAATAATCAAGAAGACATTTCGCTTTATCTAGCAAGCAGTTGTTGAAAAGCTGTTCGCTAAAGTTAGATTGCTTCGGGGATTATTTCCAAAATTGACCCACTGCCTACTGTGGCAGCCATCAGCAAACTCGGTCATTAGTTCTCTCAGCACAGAACGCCAGAAGAACTGGTCCTGTGTTTGAAAATCTGAATCCCTTGCCATCGCATCCGCGTTGAAATTGATGCACCGATTGTGTAGCCCTTATCCCAATCAGTCAAATCGTGATGTTAAACCAGAATTGTAGCAAACCGATAGGTTGTTTTTAAAATCATCCCCACTCAAGGAAGATTTTTTTCGAGTAAATGATAAATGATCAGCTGGACCCGGTAGCTGGAAGATGCGGCCGAGCCGATTATGTGATGGGTCGCTTCAGGCATAATTATCCGTCTTTGCACAGTATTGCTTGTGTCGGTGTTTGGATCTTTCTAATGCGATCAGATTCATTGACAGGATTATTAAGATATGACCATTGTTACCGATGGAAAACAAACAGTCTCTCTCAGCTTTCTGCATCTTGTTTGGAGATATCGGTACATATGCAGTCATCGTTTCATCTGTCAAATCCGTGCATTTTTTCGTTGTCCTTCCTACGCTACAAATTATGTGCCATCTTTTTAACACATCGTTCTCTATTCTGTAGGTGTTTTCCACAATTTGTCACTTCTTTCCTCACTTAGATCGACGTCCACATGGATGTGATCGTTGTCCGAAGTCATTCACTAGTAAAGACACGTTGCGGAGACATGTGGAATCTGTTCATTTGAGTGAGTGCGTAACTGAAAGCACTGAGTTTCATTTTGTCGCCTTCTTTTTCACTTGGTATCGGAAGAATCTACAGTGCACTACGTAACAAGTCGTATAGTTCTTACGCTTTGCATGCATCATTTTACCTCGCTCAATGTTCTAGCTTCCGAATCGACTTGAACACACTTCAGTCTCCTACATCACTTGACTAGCATGTGGAATGACCGTTGGAATCAATTAGGATTTCAGCGACGGAATTAATTGGGATACACTTCAGAGTAAATCGTGCTCCTTGTTAGGATTGCATGTCTATTTAAACTACGTGAGTTGCCCGCACTGATTTTTTGCTTAGGGATGCATTCGGTTTATTAGCCCTGTCAGGTGTGTCTGAACAAGCATAAATAGTTAAAGTCTGTTCATTTGAGACCGTTTGCAGTGTGTACTTTTGCAAGCTTCTCATGCGACTTTGGAAACAGAGTCACTTTCGCAAACTTCGACGACGACTGACTCGAGAGCTCCGTCGCATTAAAAATGCATGCAGGTGAAATGCTGCGCCAAAAGCCGCCAACACAAGGAATTGTTTGACTACTTGAAGACGGTGTATGGACCTAGGTTGGAGCCGCTGAGGACGCTAATCGATGATAGTTCAGGCGCTGCCTGCACATAGACTGCAGACATAATGCAGAGCTGACGAAATCACGTTGGCTGTCTCTTGAACAACCGTTCAGAGATTGGCTGTTTTACTTTGAACGGCCTCAAGCAGCAAGATGGGAAGGCGAGTCTGGCAGACGCGCCGATACTGGTTGAGATGCAGAGAGCACTTGCTCAGCTGCGCAACGGCAAGTGTGCCGAAGCCCAGGGGATCCCGCCTGAAGTATTGAAACACGGCGGTCCCGCGTTGGTGACTGCGCTGCACCACTAGGTGCAATGCGTATGGATTGTGGACGAGATGCCTCCCAGGCTGAAGGATGCCCTTCTGCTACCACTGTGAAAGAGCAAAGCAAGCAAATAGTGTTGCAGGAATTATCGTGTCAACAACTTGCTGAGTTGCGTGGGCAAGGTGATTGGCCGAATCTTGCCCAACCGCTTCGTCAGCCAAGTTGTGGAACCGAACGTGGCGGAAGATCAATGTGAATTCTGTTCGGGTCGCAGCACAATAGATATGGTGTTTGCGGCTCTTCAGTTGCGAAAAGGTGCAGAGAATGACACCGGCCATTGTACTCGCTGTTTGTTGATTTCACCAAAGCGTTTGATACGGTGAAGCGCGAGGCATTGTGGCTGGAGTTTGGTAAGTTTGATTGTCCGACTAAATTTGTAAGTTTGATTGGATGTCTGCACAATGGTATGGGGACGTGGGTGCAGATGAGTGGTCAGACCTTGGATGACTTTGCAGTTATCTCTGGTGTGAAGCAAAGCCGTATCCCAACTCATACCCTGTTTACTATCGATCTTCATGAAATGATGTCTTGTGCTTTTGATACGGCTTTTGCTTACGGTGTTCTTGTGGAGCACTGTACTTACGGTGGGTTGCTGAACATCCATCGTTTTGGTGTGAGAACCCTAGTCTGAGAGACAACTATCTGTATGTTGCTGTTCGCTGACTACTGTGCGTTGTTTGCACACAGCACGGATGAGTTGCAGCACATGACTAGTGCTCTGGCTTCGACAGCGGCAAAATTCGGGCTCACCATCAACACAAGCAAAACTGTCTGCCTGTTTCATCCTTCACCGGAAGTGCAATCTACAATATTCCCCAAAATTAGCATTGGTGGTGACATATTGGAAACCACCGCCTGCTTTTGCTATCTTGGGAGTGTGCTGTCGACTGACCAGCAGCTACATCGTGAGCTGCGTATCTGCGTCTCGAAGGCAGCGGCGGCATTCGGGAAGCTAGAGTACCAAGTGTGAAACAACCATCAGCTTACCATTGGCACAAAGCTGATGGTGTACAAATCCATGGTGCTGTCCGTTCTTCTATACGGCAGTGAAACATGGACAATGTACCGGCAGGATGTGCGATATCTCGAGCGGTTCCATCAGCAGTGTCTGCGACGGATTCTGCGCGTTGGTTGGTGCGACAGAGTTGCGGACACGGAAGTGCTGCACCGTAGTGGAATGTATGCAGTGGACTACACACTTTTGGCGAGACACCTTAGGTGGCTCGGTGATGGGTGCTGTATGGATTCGATGCGAATACCGAAACAGCTATTATATTGTCAGCTGAGTATTGGGAAGCGGCATGTGGAGAAACCGAAGTTTCGTTTTAGAACATATTCAAGGCGCGCCTATCACATTTTAATGTTGAATGCAGGTCGTGGGAATCGAAGGCGATCAATCGGCGTGCATGGCGCGATCTGATTACTAAAGCCTTTGCGGGGGTGCAAGAGAAAGACCTCGTGAATACATGGAAGAAACGGCTAGCGCGGATGCGATAGTCGCCGCTGGGGCGTACTCTATCGACATGAGGCTATAGTACATGTGGTCGGGAGTGCCTAAGTCAGGCAGGCCTAGTGGGCAATGAGCGAGGCCACTCGGGGCCACCACCGAAACGAAGATGGGTCCTGCAGAAAAGGTAGGCAAGACCGGTGCGGCGTTGGTGGTTACGCTGCATTCGATTTACTAACCGCGTGCTTGCGTGCTGTTTCTTTATTTTCTGTGGTGTGTTTGTTATCGTCTCTCAATGCATACCTTTTTTACCTCGTCTTAGCATTTAGTTGGACTTGCATACGTTGCTTAAGCTAATTGTGATTAAGTTCACTAACGCTTACGCGTTTGTGAGATTTATAAAATATATTTTCTGACATTTTGCACTTATCGCGGATTTGTTGGTCACCAAATTATTACATTCCCGTATGCTTTGTTACATAACTGTTGTGTGATATTGTCGTTTCAGGTGATTGGCTGTTATTTGACATCCCCGGGGTGGTTGCACTTGATGTGCATGTTGACAAGGTGTCTGCCTGTCTATTAAACACTACCTCGTCCATACTGGCTCTAGGAGACAGTTGGTCGTTACTGGAGGGGACGGGGTGCACGGTCCATGTGGCCGTGCTAGGCTCGAAGAGTGGCTGCATTCATTCAGTGTGGATCGGACTGCGGTCCAGCCACCGCATTGTATGTGCTTGTTTCTTAGATGTGGTTGTGTTTGCCTATGAAGGAGTGTGGGCCGGCTCTGTTGATGAAACGTGGCTCACATCCACATGCCTCCCGGTCTTATTCCTTCGGTTTTACACTGGATGTGGAGTGTATGGATGGAGCTGCGGGTGGTGCAACGCAAGCTATCCATGGTCCCTCTATAGGCGCAGGCGTCCTGTGGCTGTCTTATGGAGGTCATAGTGACATGCAAATCTGAAACCGGATCCCGCTAACCATGTTTTTAAGTCGTTACTGGTTGATTGAGGGTTGTGTCTGCGTCCTTTCAGTAGATGACACATTTATATGCCAGCAAATACGCAGTATTTGAGACTGATTGGCTCGCGCTAAGGATGCGGATTCTTTAGGAGGCTATATGTTGTCTGGACTTGTTGTGTGGTGGAGGATTTCAGTAGACAGGAAAGAAAACGACTAACTAAACTATTGTTCGGCTTTGCAATTGTCTGTTTCTATGAAATGTTATCTCATAAAGCACAGGTATTTCATGATCCTGTATAAATAGAGGATGCATAACTTCTGAATTCTGCCAAACATTCGTTTTAGATTGTAGTGAAGTGAACGATGCACTGAAGAACCCTATCCTCCCATCTGGACTAATCATTGATACACATTCTACCTGTTCCTTTCGGAGCCAAGGGTCAATTCAGCGTAAATTGATCTCTGGCGATATCGGCTTAATTAGAGTTCCTGCCCTGTCTGTTGCTTGCTCCGGAGGCGGATCCCGGCCAAGGATGAATCACGCTGTGTCGTAGCTAGTTACGGCACCTACCATCTGATCAATGTGGGCCAGCATATTTCGCTACGGACTCGAAATGGAAAGGTCTGATATTCTGTCCCCTTCTGAGCAAATGTAATGCACACTACAGACGCTGCAGGTGCCATTTTCGAGGGGATCCGACACGAACTTTTGATCCTGAAAATTACTAACGTACCGGGACATAATGACTGCATCCTCATTGCAAATTAATAGTGGCGACACACTGGCACCTACTTTGGCTGCGCTCTATTAGGAGCTATTTCCTGCGAGGAATGGGTGTCCTTTGACTGACGTTCTCTGGTCCCCATCATTATTTTCAACTTAGGTCCATACGCGTAGTATCCGTTTGCTACTAGCTGCGTCCATTTTCAATACACATTACGCCTCGCTGCCTCAGTAATCATCTTGAGAGTCGAATCAGTGAAGCTCAGACCGAATTCGTCTTCAGCAAAGGTTACGTCGACACCATTCTTGCGTTCGATAGGTTATAGCACGTTGCGTATTTCTTCCACCCTATGACCTTCACTGTATGGTGCCCTTAGGTCGCACGTGAAGTACTAGCAACGGATTCGACACTGATGTGATGTCGTATGACCTCGGGCTCCACACCTTTCAGATTGGGTGTTAGAACTGAAGAGTCCCTCATTTCTATGAAACTTGATCTTGACGCATGCGGCAACGCGAATGCTCACTAGGTCGGAGGACGATGACAACTGGACGCATTAAAATGCACCGCGCTAGGTCAGTGGTAATTGGAGGCGAAACCAGGGGAATGTGCTTGGACTAAATAACACTGGTCACCAAACACCTTTTTCCTGGTGCCGAGGATATTTCAACGAATTTACAGTATTTTGTTGGTGCTGATTTCAAATGAGACAACCTAATTAATTAATTAACAGTTACTTCACAGGTATATAAGTTCCTCTCGACACAGCTGTTTGAACAACCACTATATAGCATTCTACTTTATGGCGAAACAAAGGAAAACTATCATTCCGTCGCGAATCAGGCATATAGCGCTTTTTGTTATGTAAAATATTGAGGTCAGGAAAATTTCTGTGCTCCTCATATGGTTTGCCAAAGCTGCGTCGAATGTCTCCGCAATTAGGCAACTGGTGCTGAAAAAGGTTCAAGTTCTAGTGAATCTATGCTGTGAAGCGAACTGCCAAGCCATTACCATGATTGCTATATCTATACTGTCATTGTGCAAGACGTCAACAGATACTGGATTATTCACGTGGATTTAAAGATGGCGAACTTTCCGATAAGACAGCAAAATGGATACCCAAAGTATCCTTGTTTCATGTGCTTGTAAGCCTATAGGGCTAAAGAACATCATTGGGAGAAAGGGAATGAACTAACAGAAAAACATTACTTTAAGTGCATCGTCATGAATCCTTTGTTTGACAGAGAAAACCTGATTCTCCTACCACTACATAAATTTGTGGCAATGAAACATTTTGTTAAATAACAACCAAAATGGTTCTTCTTTTAACTATCTTTGTAGATCGTCCTTGAAACTGAGTATGAAGCAACTGAAACCTGGCATCTTCGATATTCCTCGAATTGGACAAGTGATTAATGATCGACATATTACATGTGTGAAGAGTGTTGTAGCATGTGCCTGCGATCGCTTTGTCTCCATTGTCCAGAGCTTCCTGGGTAACCATAAAGCGGGGAACTATGAAGAATTAGTGGGGAATATGGTTGCAATTCTTCACTTGTAACATGAGCACAAAGCCACCTTTTCTTCATGGTTACTTCGATTCCCGGATACTCATGGTGGTTTTAGCGAAGAACATGATGAGAGATTCCATCAGGATAGTAAGTTAGTGTAAAATAGGTGGCCAGATAAATGATGGAGGACTATTGATGGGGCATCACAGCTGACTTTCTAACTAAACCATATAATGGGTAAGCGTACAGATAGCTTTTTTCTCAAACAACAACCATCAGGATAGACATCAGCAGCGTAGGTTCTTTCTTCTGTTATCGTACATGCAAGGTATTTGCTGTCTTTATTTGTATTTCCACATGATTCTCTTGTTTGCTATAATCCAAAGCCTTTGGGTGGTTACCATATCTTAAAAAGTAGTGGCAATCTAGCAAATCTGTGTCCAGTTTCGGAACCAGCGACGCGAAATTATCCTAAACTCACCATAACATCTCTGGCACTAAAACCACTGTTGACCAGTGTAATCCGGAGAACGACAACATCGTAGCAGTCCACACCCCCACTGTTTGTGTAGATTTATGTGTAGCTGTGCAGACAGCCACGTTGGATTTACTGATGGAAATATCGGTATCCGAATCTCCAAACACGTTCCAAAATGGTTGCAAAAACAAACGGAATCTTTGTTAGTTAGACCAGAAAGCATGGTTCTGTCTCAGTAGTCATGGGCCATTTGCTGAACACTGGTCGCCAGATCAGTGCGGATGCATCAATGATGGTTCTCATGCGTAGCCAAACTTCCCACTCTCTCAAGCTGCTTAACGCCATTGTTTACTACCTTGGATCACTCGCCGGAGTACACTAAATGAAGAGCCTATTTCAACAGTCTCCGTCTTCTTATTGCCTTATTCCGAATTATAAAGCGAATGATCAGCTGCATCCGGGAGGCGAACATGGTAACCAATTGAGTTGGAACAGAGTAGTCTCTGTGATCGCTGGCTTAGTTATCGATCTGCATGACTGTTTGTTCTACTCAGGGCCGGCATCATTCCAGTGTGCTCATTGTTATCTTCTACAAATAACAGTGATAGAGCAAGAATGTTTGACACCCCTCCTGATACATACTATTAGTATGAACCCGTGATCACCGATAGCAAGTGCTCCCTGTATCTTTTAGCTTCTGTCTTTTATTACGACACTACCGTACATGTGCGACCAATGTTTGACATGGCAACTCCTCGGGTTTATTGCTTATCCTTTGGGCCTCTATGTATTGTAAATTCTGTGCATTCATTTTCACAGATCATCCATACTGCGTTTTCCCTCTATAAATCATCCATGATTGTTTCTCCTTTCCCGCAATCCAGATCAGCGCCCGCACGAATGTGGCTGCTGTGCGAAGTCGTTCAACGAAGAACGCACTTTACGGAGACACGTCGACTCTGTTCATCTGGGTGAGTGTGTATGTGTGTGACTTCGGTAATTTTGTTGCGTTTGTGGCATTTTTAAGTAGCTTGTGGACATTTCTTACTTATCGCGGATTCGTTGCTAACCAACTTACTTCATATGGTAATTTAGGGAAGAGTTATGCCACCGTATCTGTATGCATTATTGGATTTATTTTATTTCAGCTTGTGGTTTAAAGTGAATGGCTGTTGCTTGATATCCCCGGTGTGGCTGCGCTTGATGTGCATGTTGACAAGGTGCCTACCTGTCTATTACCCACTACCTCGTTCATACTGACTCCAGGAGACAGTTGGCCGTTGCTGGAGGGGACGGGGTGTATGGTCCTTGTGGCCGTGCTAGGCTGCAAGGGTGATTCCATGCACTCAGTGTGGAGCGGACTACGATCCAGCCACCGCCTTGTGTGCGTTTGATTTCCCAAATACAGCGTGCTTGTGTTTGCCTGTGAAGGAGTGTGGGCCGGCTCCGTTGATGAAACGTGGTTCCCATCCACATGCCTCCCGGTCTTATTCCTTCGGGTTTACATTGGATATGGGGTATGTGGTTGGAGCTGTGGGTAGTGCAGCGCAAGCCACCCATGGTCCCTCTGTAGGCGCAGGCGTCCTGTGGCTGGCCCGATTGACAGGCAAACCCGAAACCGGATGCCGCCAACCATGTGTGTGACTAAAGGCAGCAGCGGCCTTGGCTGCGCCACCGTTAATCATGTTACTTGGCTCCAGTGGAATCCACCAATGCGTCGTAGTCCGCACAAGATTCAACTTGCAACCAAAATGACTTGATGTGACATTACGTGATTTTTGGCTGACGGAGTGCGTTCAAAATGTTATCACACCATCGTTTCACAAAGAAATGTTGGAAAACTCACATCGTATTCCCATAAATTTTGGTCCTAATGTCAGATTTACAGAGCCAGTTGAGTATGGGGCTTGTATTAACCTGGTCAGTCAGTGATTCCCTCGCATCTCACCAAACCAGCCGATCAATGATACTACACGTCGTTCACAATCGATGCTAGTATGAAGCGACAACGGATTTTCCATTAACTATGGGGAAAGCTATTCCTCACAATGTATTTCTATGGTAATTGCTCTGAAACTGGTCCACTCAGCGTCATCACAATGAAACCAGTCATAGACAAACTCAATGATTGATTGTTCTAACACGGAATCCCGGAGAAAGTTATCTGCTGAATTTCGTGTCTAGAAAAGCTGCTGTGGTTTGGCTCACCAACAGGGCTTCCATTTTCACTTATAATGGAAAGGCAACATTGGGGTTATGGTAAAGCAAGCCGATATTCTCACAACAATCACAACCACTCCAAGCCCGTGCTATGTAGCTACTTTTGTCGGACATCAGTCTAGATCAACTGCTCATTGCGCATCGGTCCTCTATCGCAGTGATCCCCAACCTTTTATCGCCGCAGACTGGTCAATGTTTGATAATTTTAGTGCGGGTCGCTGAGGGGGTGCGTTGGTTGTTTCGATTTTAGATTGATTTGCTTCAATAATTCTACTTTAGTTATACTTATACATTTCCTAAAAGTAAGCTACATTTACACCAAGAATGAATACAAAGTTATTTGACATGTCACTCACTAGAACGCTAAACCAATGAGAACCATGAGGTTGTTTCTCTGCAACGGTACTGTTCCATCTGGGTCGAATAGGAGACTGACGCCCGAAGTGTGTTGCGTTGTTTTGGTTTTGTTTGGTTTCTATCACTGCAGAAAACTCCGCTTCACACAGACAGGATGTCGGAAATAGCAATAGGGATTTAAATGTTGTGCTAGCAGCCTGAGGGTAATCCGTCATGACTTTAATCCAGAACACCCGGCAAAGTTGTCTCGAAGGTAGTTTTAATGCCGCCGTCATTTGCAGTCTCCAGCGGTTAATCTTCTTGCACAGACGTGCTGGATTCGCCTAGTTTGTTGATTAGTAGGTCGCGGATTCATTCCTTACTAGTTCATAGGTCTTTTATGATTGAGAAGTAGCGTTCGAACTATTTTAAAAACAGAGACAGATGATCATGCACCAACTTTGAGAATGAATGCTCAGGGTCAGTCTAGCCTAAAATTCCCGTTAATATTTGAAACATGTCCCAAATGCCTCTAGGCACGCGCCGTCCCCACAACTCACCAGCGGTGTGAGACAAGGATGCCCGCTGTCACCTTTCCTCTTCAACTTCGCTATTGATGAAGTCATGGAAACAGCGTTCGCTGGACACGACCTAGATGGTGTGGAGCTACTTCCTGGTGAGCGACTTCTTGACTTGGAGTATGCGGACGATATTGCCCTAATCTGTGACAGCCTCCAAACATGCCAAAGAGCACTGGACCGATTAGCACTGGCTGTCAATCGTTTTGGGCTATGCTTTGCTCCATCGAAATGCAAAGTACTTCTCCAAGATTGGCAGGGACGCAACCCTGCGCTAACGCTTGGTGGTGATCTGCTAGAAGTCGTTCAGGAATTCAAGTACCTGGGCAGCTATATTAGCACCCGTGGGATTGAAGATGAGGTTACGAACCGCATAGCAAAAGCTCGAGGTGCTTTTGCCAATCTCCGCCACCTGTGGCGCAGACGCGACATTACTCTCGCCCTGAAGGGCAGAGTTTACAACGCAGCCGTCCGTTCAACTCTCCTATATGGCTGTGAAACCTGGCCCATCAGGTCTACTGACATGAAGAGACTCGTCACATTCGATCATCGCTGCCTTCGCAGCTTAGCTCATGTCTGGTGGCAACACCGCGTGAGCAATGAGCGTGTTCGACGTCGCGTATTTGGTGCAGGAAGAGCGAGTGAACCGCTCAGCACTATTATATCACGCACCAGGCTCCGATGGCTGGGCCACGTGTTGCGCATGCCAGCACACCGACTCCCGCGACGTGCATTGTTTGCGCGTTGTGGGTGCGGTTGGAAGAGGAGGAGGGGAGGCCAAGTGATGACTTGGTCGCGAGAAATGAAAACCCTCACTTCGAAGTTGGCGTCGGTTGGTGCATCCCGACTGCCTGGCTGGGGTCCTAAGGACGGTGAACACGTTTGGTTGGACACACTTGCTGATATGGCTCGGAGCCGGCACCAATGGCGTTTGTGTTGTGATTTCCTTTGCCCATCCCCCTCCTGTTTAGTATCCCCCTCCAATCACGATCTCATCTGTTAGGCATAATATGATTCTCTTTTTACGGCAGCCAGCTGTTAGCTCTCCGGAACGATGTCCATCCGTTACTGGGGACTCAGCGGGCGTGCCACTGTTTTTTTCCTTTTCTTTTATTTTGTATTGCGGCACAATAGCTGAGGTGTATTCCACCTCCAGCTAAAGTGTAATGATGATGATGATGATGGCCTTAAATGCAGCTACTTTGTCTGCCAACTTGAAAACAGTTGTCATTTTCCCCTGAAGGGATAGGTCGAGTTAATTGAGCCAGCTGAATATGTCACACAGGTAAGCCAGTTTTGTAACCCATAACTTGTCACTGAGATGTGCTGCCAACGGTGACTTCTTCTATGAGAAATCTTTGCAATGGCTCTCGTAATTCAAATACTCTGCTTAGCGATTTTCTTCTGGATAACCATCTTATTTCTGTGTACAAGAGAAGGCATCTGTGCTCTGCGTCCATCTCCTCACAAAGCTGCTCAAACAGTCGCGAGTTAAGAGCGGGTGCTTTGATGTAATTGGTTACTTCAACGACACCAATCAATACGCTGCTGAATTCCGGTGGTATTTTTCAGCTTGCCAGCCTTACTCTGTGAATGATACAATGCATTGATTCACCCGCAGTTAAATCAGACAGTCGTCCGGTCATGGCAGTAGCTCTGTCTGTGTATATGCCGACACGAAAAGCCTATTTTAGTTTTCTTGTTGTATAACCACCCAGTGACTTGAACAGTTCTGCTCCTGTGGTGTTGATTGGCAAAGATAGTGCACATAACAAATCCTTGTGCACATCCTCCTGAGAAAGATATCGCACATAAACTGACAATATTGTCTTGTTGTCGATATTTGTAGATTCATCAACCTGGACTGCTTCCCACGGGATGTATTATTCCTCTCCAACATTTGTCTCTATTTCCTCAATTCGCCTAGTCACAGTGTTACCGGACAAAAACACATGTGCTGTCTTTTAAATAACAGCCACTCCTAGAACTTTGCGGCAGATGTCTTCAGTGGAGAGCAAGATCAGTTCTTCACCGATGGTGGATGGCTTTTTAGTCTTAGCAGTACAGTTAGCTACCAAATATAATATTCTCAGTACATTCTCCTTTAGTGATGTGATAGCCCTCAGAAATTTCTTCTTTCGATCATGTTCCCGTTATTTTTCTTTTAAAATACTCTGAGAACTACTCTGTAAATTCAGAGTGCTTGGCCTTCAAGTAGCGAAGCAGTTTTGTAGGTTTAATTACCTCATTAGAGAGCCAGTCGCCGCAATCTATGCAGAGCAAAGTTGTGAGAATCACCTACCCCATTAAATCAATATTACAAGTAGAACTCATAGGATTGTCTGGTAAAAGTTTTATGTTCCTATGAAGTTGTAAGCTTTTGTTCTGTCGCTTCATTGGGCCTTTTCCTTTCCTAAAGGAAAATTTTCCAACGACCTCTGTTTTTAACTCATTGGTAATTTTTGGCTTAAATTTGGGCGTTCTAGTGACCGTGATGTAACCTGGAAAATAAAACCATTAAACTCCGATAGTAAATGTGGACGAAACATGGCAAATCTAAACTACAATATACACGTACACCAAACACTGCTAACCGTAAGAAAGTACTGGTGAACAGAGAGAAGAGCGCTACACACCTCTCCACCAAAGCTACAACGCCACTGCGGCTCTCAGCCGCTCAGCTTCCGGTTAACATCTCGTCCATAGAAAGTCACACAATCCCGAGAGAAATACACCACAGTAAATAACATAAAATAATTTATTGTTTTTTGGTCGGCCCCATGCTATTTCACCCACCGACCGGTACCGGTTTGCGGCCCGGGGGTTGGAGACCACGGCTTTATCGCATAAAAGGCTGTGGAGAAGTGTGAATTAAGGTTTGACTATCCACATTCAATGGAATCATAGCGGCATTCGCGCACTATTTGTGCCAGCATTAGAATCTAAGCCTTAACCAGGTATGACTACAGATCAAATTCGAAAGGACGCACTAACTGGAGGTGTATTTATGGTCTCCAGTCGCGGCAGAGTGAACAAGACAGCTAGTTGAACGCGACGCGGGCTGTCCGTGGTATTTGCATGCCAGCAGTAGCCTGTTCCCCAAATTTATCTACTACTGTATTTCGTTGTCTTTCTCCATTTGATGTATCTTTTCAATTCGTGAATCACTGGAAACAAATGAGATTGTGGGACACTGCCCTGCGTCTGAAGTCGGCATTAATTCGTTGATATCAGCACACACCTCTGGCATTATTGTCACGTGTTAGTTTCTACTTTAGCAGCCGATGACATTGCTCGACTATTTATCAAATTCAGTGCTGGTCACTAAGACCCTTATGTGCCATTTTGGTACACCATGCACTATTCTGCACCGGTTTCCCCCCTTGTTGTTCATCGGTTGTTGTTCACTTTCTGTTTCCCAATCCAGAGCGACGTCCCTATGCATGTGGCCTTTGTGATAAGGCGTTTACTCAGAAAAGCAATTTGCAAAAGCACCACATCATTGTTCATCTGAGTGAGTGTAACTGTTAGATTTTTACTGTCACTGGCTTCGATAGAATCCAGCACACTTTTTGAACGCACTGGCTGTCACCTTTTTTCACCGTGCAGTTACGCCTTACTCTGTAGAACGTACAATTTTTCCAACCAGCTACTTTTATCTAACTGGGTCTAGCCCATCCTGTCGTTGCACTGTTCACGTATTACTCTCTCGAAACTACCGTTGGTATGGTGATTGAAAGTATTTGATTTGGTAAGCAATCATTCTTTCGGAATTTGTTTGTTCCTCCATCAGAATGGCTTAAAACCAACCACACACTCATTTTCTTCTGTGTCACATATCTTTCTCGGTGGTCTTGGTTCTTGCCTTCGGATAAGTGTCTTTAGCGTTAGCACTTTTCGGCGCATTTACACTTCACTCCGCTTTGCCAGTACTGTGATCGACACCGAAAAGTGGGACATTTAACGTACGCCGTCACACCGTATCGGCTATGTGACCAATACCGGTCGCACGTTGGCTGAGCACACCGCGATGTTACCTGCATCTGTGCGCATTCGAACCGATGACATCCGGATTACCAAGCAAGCACGTACTCTTTTCGCCCACCGGCCGACTACCGTCACCTTGGGCTTTGTCTTGTCAACTGTTTCACATTGCCTGTACCGTGATGATCAACGCCGAAACCCGCCACATCTGCAATGCACCGGCCTAAACCGTACCGATGCTTCACCACCCCTTAACCACCACCAGTCGTGCGTAGGCTAGGTATACCGCGAGGGCGCCTGTACCTACGCGGATTCTAACCGGGGACATCCGGACTACCAATCAAGCGTGTAATCCTTTCACCCACCTGCCGGCTACCGTCACCGATGTCTTTGCCACGTAAACTGCAAGACTTTGTCGCCAGCACAGTCATGTTTAGTCTTAACTGTTTTATTGCTGTCTCATCCGCATTTGAACAGATCGGCTTGAATTCTAATTGAGGACCTCCGATATTGTGTCTGTTGATGCAGCCCTCCAAGAATCATAACGAAGACTGAGGAGGGATTCAAAATCGATTATTAAGGAACCAAGTGTCTTTTTTTACTGTACATAAATTTCAGTCACCATTTCAGTAGAGCGCACTTTGAATGGCTGCTTGTTGCTAGCCATTTGCCTGCGTTCACTGCCTTGCGTTTTTCCTTCTTTCACAGCTGTTTGGACCACTCTTATCTTGACTGTAACAAAGTTTCGCCCTATTCCCAATACCCAAACCCCGTACTAGACGATTCACTTGGTCCTTGCGAATGTGCTCAGCTTGCGCTGGCGGCGCTAATTCGCTTCCCAGTCCGGTGGCCACACGTCAGGTTCGCTCGCATAACTTGCCAGTTATCACCACAATGTCATCTCGAAAATCAACGGAAGATGCACCATGATCCGCTTCGGCGCTATGATTCTATCCTGCTCCTTAACTAGCTAATGGACTTGGCCGTCTGTCACCATGCGGTTATGAAGCGAAAATGTCTAGTGCTTGAGTCAATGATAAGACTGGAACAACATTAGTTCATTGATCTGTCAGCGATTCACGCCTACGAATCCCATAGAGCCATATTCTCTCCTGGTCACTGGTGCATGTCGTTTACTCACATCATGGAACTGTGCCACGGAGGCGTCAGTTGATTAGCCGCCCGCGTCACCTGACCGATATCGAATCGCAGGGAACAGTCATCACGGTCCTCCTCTTAGTGCAATGTAGGCACCTGGTAAACTCAGTACTTTCCACAAACTGATCGTTGTGCTGATCCTGTGTCAAATGGCGTCCAGTCGTCGCTTGTTTATTCGCCTGCTTAGTGTTGTGGGCGAGTAGGCAATGAGCCACTAGTTTACATCTGGTTCCGTAATATGTTGACAATATTCGTAAGTCATAGTGTTGCTCCCCATATTCATCTCGGTTCGAACACCATGGACACGTCCACAGCAGTGAATTTTGTCCCATGTACAAAAGACCCTTTGCCATCGGTACACAAGACTTACTTCAGCGCACGGCTACAATCATTATTATTATTATTATTATTATTATTATACACGTCAGCTAGAGGTGGGAAACACCTCAGCTACTGTGCCGCAGTACATAAATGAAAAAGGAAAAGTCGCATGCCAGCTGAGCTACAAGCAACGGATGGGCATCGTTCCGGAAAGCTACCAGCCGGCTACTAGGCAAAAAGAAAAGTTATTATGTTTTACGCTAAGAAATGTGATCGTAGGTGGAGGGGGAGGCTATAAGGGATGGGGAGGGACAAAGAAACTCACAGCACGAACGCCACTGAGGTCGGCTCTTTGCCATGTCAGCAAGTGTATCCAGCCAAACGTGTTCACCGTCTTTTGGACCCCAACCAGGGAGCCGTGACGCTCCAACCGAGGCCAGCACAGAAGTGAGGGCCTTCATTCCTCTGGACCAAGTCATCGCTTGGCCACCCCTCCTCTTCTTCCATCCACATCCCCGGTGAGCAAACAACGCACGTCGTGGAAGTCGGTGGGCTGGCATGCGTAACACGTGGCCGAGCCATCGGAGCCTGGTGCGTAAAGTGACGGTGTTGAGCGGTTCATTTCCTTATTCTGTGCCGTAAACAAGGCGTCGAACACGCTCGTTACTCACGCGGTGTTCCCACCGGATGTGAGCCAAACTGTGAAGGCACCGGTGGTCGAACGTAACTAGCCTCTTCATGTCCGCCGATCTTAGGGGCCAGGTTTCGCAACCGTACAGTAAGGTCGAACGTACTGCTGCATTGTACACTCTACCCTTCAGGGCGAGAGTAATGTCGCGCCGCCGCCATAGGTGGCGAAGGTTAGCAAAAGCACTTGGAGCTTTCGCTATACGGTTCGTGATCTCGTCTTCGATCCCAAGGGCGCTGATACAACTTCCCAAGTAATTGAATTTCCGAACGACTTCTAGCTGATCCCCACCAAGGGTCAGCGCAGGAGGCGATCCCTGCCAATCTTGGAGGAACGCTTTGCATTTCTATTCTGCAAAGCAAAGCCCGAAGCGGCTGACAGCCAGTGCGGCTCGGCACGTCTGGGATCTGTCACAGATGAGGGCAATGTCGTCTGCATACTCCAAGTCGGGAAGTCGTTCTCCTGGGAGTAGCTCCACACCTTCCAGGTCATGTCCTGTAAATGCAATCTCCGTGACTTCGTCAATAGCGAAGTTGAAAAGGAAAGGGTTGCTGTTTCCTACGCGATCCAACTTTTTGGTTATTACCTTCACAGTAAACCCTTGTAAAGGCTCCGTAGAATCGCCTGAAGGTAGAGCGATCAGATCTTTTCCGAAAGGACATAGCCAACTTAGTGGAGCAACTGTTCAGCAGAAGTGTAAGAGCTACACACTTTTATGCCTACTTTCTCCATCTGATGAAGGGCTGCGAAGAAGCTTGTTGAGGAATATGCATACCCAAAAACAGTGCTGCCATAGCAGTACTCGCGTGCTGGCTGAACTGGCATTAGCAGTGTAGGCGGGGCCAGCGATGTCTTCAGGTCGAGGTAACAAGGAGGTAAAACAGGAACGGTGTACTCGGAGCAGCCAACCACGGGTTAAGGGATTGGATCCGAGAGAGGTGAACAAGGCAGTTACTTGTGCGCAATTCAAATTGGTTCCGATATTTGCATACCAACAGCAGCCTCTGCGATGCTGCACTGATTGCATCTGCTAAGTCTGGTCATAACAGGCTTTTTGCAACCAGATGCTTTCATTTTCTTCATTTCCATTGCTGCTCTTGCTATTCGTTTTCCAATAAGATTTCTGCCTTTGAATCAATAGAATAACTTAAAAGCTAGCACTTTAGTTAGTACAAAATATTTCTATAAACTTGTTGTTGCAGTCCAGGTTTGACCCACTAGATCCTCGAGTGTATTAGGTTGGTAATAAAATTATTGCGGTTTTTAATCTTAAACTTTAAATGCACATATCTTGGCTCAGACGTAACATTTTTATTCGAAATAAAAGCCATTTGAATCGACAGACTTTTGACAACGGGAACCAAATTTCTTTATCCGGAATGAATAATTTCCCGTAGTTCTGGTGGTGATGAAATCTTTGAAAGTGGTTTCAGCATCTCTTTGCATTTTAAAACGTTTCTCTCGGAGGAAGTTATCCAGGTGCTATACAAATTGGTAATCGGCATGCGGAAGGTCAATGAAGTATGGTGGCTGAAGCGAAGTTTCATAGCGCAGTTCGTGCAGCTTTCGCAGGGTTGTTTATGCGACCTGTTGCCGAGCGTTATCATTGAGAAGAATTGGCCCCTTTCTGTGGACCAGTGCCGGACACTTGTGTTGATGTTTTTGGTGCATTTCGACAATTTATTGACAATACTTCCCAGCTGTAATGATTTTCCCTGGACTCAGAAAGTTGTGATCGATCAGACCAGCTTGAGATCTTCAGACAGTCACCATGATTTATTTTGGGAAGTGGAGCTTGCGGAACTTGATCGTGGACCAGCCATTGAGAGGTTCATCGGCGATTGTCGTGAAGTATCCACTTTTCATCGCAAGTCACAATCTGGTCGAGAAAAAGGTCATTTTTATTGCGCCGAAGCGAGGCAGAAGACACCTAAAAATGACGATTTTCTTGATTTTTTCAATTCGTGCGGCACCCACTTATCAAGCTTTTTGACATTTCAATCTCTTGTGTTTTAAAACTGCCACATGCGATACTGCTAGGTCAGTAGCAAGATCTCAAATAATTTTACGCGGTTCCGCTTTAACTAAGGTCCTTAACTGATCGATATCCACTTCTAATGGTCATCCACAACGTCCTTCATCTTCAAGCCTCTTCCAACCTTCCCGCAATTTTTGAAACCGCCATTGTAGTACGGTTATTAGTGGTTTTAGCACAGAATGCACTGTTGATAACATGGGCTGTTTCTGCTGCATTTCGACCAATTTTAAATTGGTAGAAGAAAATGGCGCGCATTTGTCTTCTGTCCGCGTTACGTTATCTGTACAGTACAGATGTAAAAACGTATTTCTGAGCTAAATTATCAATATGGCTAGATAGGTTGCAAGACTGGCTTTAAAATGATATACAAGGTCAAACCAACGTATTAGAAATTATTCAAAACAGCTGTTAGAATAACCTTATAAAAAGCCGCAGTAACTTTATTATCAACCAAACAGTATTCATTGTTAAGGCAGCAACTTGCATACAGCCATTCTGGCAGATCACCCACTATTCTGCGCGTCTTCTTCCTATCTGATTCGTTTATGTCCACTTATCTTCTGTTCCTCATTCTAGGACAACGGCCTCATACATGTGAATACTGTCGCAAGACATTTACTCAGAAGGACCATTTGCTGAAGCACATCAGTGCTTTACATTTGAGTGAGTTTGGTAATGGGGAGCTGTTTGCTTTTGATTTTGTCTCTCACCTTGAAGCACTATTGATGTCATTGTCGGCATCGAACATGCTATTTGTAAAGACCCCACGTTCTGATATCGGAGAGATTTGCAAACGATCGCTTCATTTATTTATTTCGCTCATCTGATTCAGTGAGTCTAGTATCCATGTGGTCCTCATTGCTGCTATCGATGGGATACCAAAGCCACTTGCAGAAGTAAGAAATAATGCCTTTAAATTGACCTGTGTCATTCAGCTTTAACTGAAGTTATAAAGATTTGCGAAACATATGTAAAAGCATCTTGTGATTGTGACCATATCACTTTGGTATATGTTCATATTACCAAAAACCCGATAGGAAGTGGATTACATCACAGCATTCATCTAGCTTCTTCACATGTGCCTTATTGAAGATAATCACTTCCTCCTTGGACCGTATAATTATGATGCCATCTTTCTTGTACACTGCAGTGTTCCGTAATTTTGCGCGGACTCTGCTTCTTTCGACTGCTATGACTCTGACCGGGGATTTGTCAAACCAATGTACCATTGCAGACATTTCTCTATTTTAGCAACGAAAAATCACGAAAAAATCCTCTGTCCTTGTAAGAGATTCTTCGGTGTCCTGTAACACACACACACACACTTGTCGGACAGCGGCCGGAAGGGCTAAGTGCCTATGTATAATCCGGAGGTCACCGGTTTGAATCCGCGTAGGTGTAGGAGACCTTGCTGTATACCTAGCGGGAATGCTGCTGGTCGCGTGGCAGTGAAGTGTCTGTACGCTGTGGAGACCCGTACACATATTATAACATGTTTGCTTGAACAGTTGCAAGGTTTTGCTGGTACTGCAAAGCATCTTTATAGTCAGCATTGGTAACAGCATTATAAGGATTCTAAATAAGTGGGGCGGGAGCTTGCACCGAAGTTCGGTTCTATAGTAACCTGACAAGGGAAGCACACTGTGCTCTGTAGTCACAATTCAGTTTCCTCCTTCTAGTTCTAAAATTCTCCTTTAAAGGAATAGTCCTATTCTGTGGAATGAAAGGCACATTCCTTGCTATATAAAACTCGAGCGGCTCATCGGGATTGACAATTTTGATGTCACTCGGATTGGGCGCTATGCCTTTAGATTTATATTTGATATTCATGGCAAATCCAATGGTGACCTCACATTTTGAAGGAGGGTAAGCTTTCGACAATTGCGCTGCCTCATATGCACGGTTTGTAACCGCCTTGGTACATGTTGGTATCGCGAACATATGAGCTATATTTAATAACGAAGAAAACGCAGACCTTATTGTTAGCAGATTAACTCCCCTTGCGCTCATAAACACCGGCCAGTGTTGCGGTCAAAGTATTGAACACCCTGGTGATAAATGTACTTTTTCCCCATCAGAATTCCGAACTCCGCATGGCCATTATCCTCGTGCAACGGCTTAGTTGATTAATCCGATGTTTGTCAATGAAAGAGGGGTTTCGAGCTCCAGTGTTTCGTTAATGAAGAGGTTACATCCGGATAGCATGAATCTTTAGAAAGATGTAACACAATCCGACTTGCAGTCTACCCTTTTCATCAGTGTTTCTAATGGCCAAAGTTTGATGTGTGACTGGAGCATCGCAATTTGTCAGGCACAGTGCGTCACACGCAACTTTGGTACCAAGTTGTGGCTGTCAGCAACATCTTCACAATCTGGCTCTTATCCTTTTCTCGTGTAACGAGATAGCTATTCATTATTAGGTAATCTTACACCTCCTTATCTTTTGCTCAGCACCGAGGTTTTGGAGTTCTGCAGCCTGCATACACCCAATCTTACGGGTCACTCACTTGTATGTGGTTGTTTTTAACTATATGGTGCTTTTATTTACTCATTTTCTACCTTGCTCTCAGATCAACGGGCCCATGAATGTCCGTATTGTGATAGATCGTTTGCTGATAAGGACGTCTTGCAACTGCACTTCCGAGCTGTTCATACGAGTAAGTATGGTTATTGAAACTTTATTTCCCTTTTGTTGTACACCTTCGGCACTGACATCGTCTATCATAGTCCACGACGTCGGTGAAATCGATTCTCCTGTTTGTTTATGTTCATTGTCTGATTGTTCCCATCATCAGTACACGTTAGCCGAGGGTGAGAAATACACCTCGGCTAATGTGCCGCAATATAAAACGTAAGACATTAAGCAGTGTAGACTAGAAAGCTATAAAAAAGTAGTAACAGAATGCTAATATCACATTTTTGTTGGTTGTTGGTAGGGAAGCTAAAGAGAAGGAGCCGGACAAACAGGCTCACAGCACAAATGCCACTGAGGTCGACTCTTCACCATGTCAGCTAGTGTATCCAATCAAACGTGTTCCCTTGGTTCTTATGTATCTCTCGTTGCGCATTTAGTAGGATCCGATATACAGGCTTGGCGGCATCCGGTTTCGGATTTGCCTGTCACTGTGGCCAGCCACAGGACGCCTGCGCTTACAGAGGGACCATTGGTGGCTTGCGCCGTACCACCCACTGCTCGAACCACACACCCCATATCCAGTGTAAACCCGAAGGAATAAGACCGGGAGGCATGTGGATGGGAACCACGTTTCATCAACGGAGCCGGCCCATACTCCTTCACAGTCAAACACAAGCACACTGTATTTGGGGAATCAAGCGCACACAATGCGCTGGCTAGACTGTAGTCCGCTCCACACTGAGTGCATGGAATCACCCTTGCAGCCTAGCATGGCCACAAGGACCGTGCACCCCGTGCCCTCCAGCGAGGACCAACTGTTTCATAGAGCCAGTATGGACGAGGTAGTGGGTAATGGACAGGTGGGCATCTTGTCAACATGCACATCAAGCGCAACCACACCGGGGATGTCAATCAACAGCCAATCACTTGAAACGACGAGATCAAATAAAATTATTCGAATGATGCAAAAAAGCTGCAATGCCCTAACTCTTCATTAAATGAGCGTATAAAATAAATTGGTTAGGAACAAATCCGCGACAACTTCAAGGCGTCGGCAAATATACTTTAAGAAAATGCCACACACACGAAAATGTTCTCGAAGTTAACTATAGTTAGCTTAATCGACATGTGCAAGCTTATAAAAGATAGTTCAGATAATCATGAAAATGAGTTGAAAAAGCATTAGGACTATATAGCATGCCCACTATCTCCAATAAAGAGACTCATCATGCAAGCACGCGGTTAGTAAATCGAATTAAGCGTAATTACAAACGCTACTTCGGTTCTGTCTACCTTTTCTGCAGGACCCGTCGTCGCTTCGATGGTGGCCCCGAGTGGCCTTGCTCATGGCTCATTAGACCTGCTCAGGCAGGCATGTGTTACAGCACCATGCGCTCGATGTCGATGGAGTACAACCCATCGGTGCTTGCCGCTTCCGCACTTGCGCTTCTTCTCTGCATGTATGAGGTCTTTCTCCTGCACTTCGTCAACTGCCTTCGTGATTAGATCGCGTCAAGCACACCGATTAACCGCTTTCGATTCCCATGACCTGCAGTCATCAATAGTACGGGAGAGGCTCACTTTGATCATGTCCTTGTAACGAAGCTTCGGCGTCCTGCACGCCGTTTCCCCAAACAGTTGATAATGTAGTAGCTGCTTCGGTATCCGCGTCGAATCCATAAGCCACACATGACCGAGCTACCTAACGTATCTCAGCAAAAGTACGTAGTCCACTGCATACATTCCACTTCGGTGCAACACTTCAGTGTCCGCAACTCTGTCGCACCAACCAATGCGCAGAATCCGTCGCAGACACTGCTGATGGAACCGCTCGAGATATCGCACATCCCGTCGGTACACCGTCCAAGTTTCACTGCCGTATAGAAAAACGAACAGCACCATGGATTTGTACACCATCAGCTTCGTGCCAATGGTAAGCTCATGGTTGTTTCACACTTGGTACTCTAGATTCCCGAATGCCGCCACTGCCTTCGAGACGCGGAGACGCAGCTCACTGTGTATCTTCTGATCAGTCGACATCACACTCCCAAGGTAGCAGAAGCAGGTGATTTCCAATATTTCAGCAGCAAGGATGAATCGCGGCAATATTGAAGATTGCACCTCCGGTGAAGGCTGAAAGAGACAGACAGTTTTGCTTGTGTTGCTGGTGAGCCCGAATTTGGCCGCTGTCGAAGCCAGAGAACTAGTCATGTGCTGCAACTCATCCGCGCTGTGTGCAAACAACGCACAGTCGTCAGGAAACAGCAACATACGGATAGTTGTCTCACAGACTAGGGTTCTCACACCGAAACGACGGATGTTCAGCAGCCCACCATCAATAACAGTGCTCCACACGAACACCGTAAGAAGAAGCCGTATCAGAAGCACAAGACATCATTGCATGAAAATGAATATTAAACAGGACAGGAGCTAAGATACGGCGTTGCTTCACACCAAAGATAACTGCAGAGTCATCCGAGGTCTGACCTCTCATCTGCACCCACGTCCGCCTACCACTGTACAGACATCCCATCAAACTTACATATTTACTCGGACATCCAAAGTTACCAAACACCAGCCACGATGCCTCTCGGTTCACCGCATCAAATGGTTTGCTGAAATCAACAAACAGCGAGTACAACGGCTGGTGTCATTCTTTGCACTTCTTTTGCAGCGGAAGAGCCGCGAACATCATATCGATGGTGCTGCGACCCGAACGGAATTCACATTACTCTTCCGTCACGTTCGGTTCCACAACTTGGCTGACGAGGCGGTTGAGCAGTATTCGGGCAATCACCTTGCCCACACAACTCAGCAAGTTGATGCCACGATAATTCGTGCTGCATTGCATGCTTCCTTTGCCCTTGTGCAGTGGTAGCCCAAGGGCATCCTTCAGCCCTGGCGGCCCCTCGTTCACAATCTATACGCGTTGTACCTAGTGGTGCAACGCAGTCAGGAACACAGGTCTGCCGTGTTTCGATACTTCAGGCTAGATCCCGTGGGCTTCGGCATACTTGCCGTTTCGCAGCTGAACAATGCTCTCTGCGTCTCAACCAGTGCCGGCGCATCTGCCAGACTCGCCTTCATATCGTGCTGCTTGAAGCAGTTCAAAGTAGGCCAATCATTCTCTGAACGGTTGTTCAAGACATGCTCAAAGTGATTTCGTAGGGTCTGCATTCTGTGTGCAAGTAGCGCCTGAACTACCATCGGTTAGTGTCCTCAGCAGCTCCAACCTCGGTCTATACACCGCCTTCAAGGAGTCAAAGAATTCTTTGTGTTGGCGGAGTTTGGCGTAGCATTCCATCGGCTTTGCCTTCTTCATCCACCATGCATTTTTAATGCGACGGAGCTCTCGAGTCAGTCGTCGTCGAATGCTGCCAAATATTTTCTTCCATATGTGCAGCAAATTGTGCATTCTTTTCCGACTCTAATGCGTTAATCGTTGCGTTGTTCTCATCAAACGAATCAGGCCGCTTGCAGTTTGCGCGCCTGATGGCCTCCTCGGCAGCAGCTATCACCTGGTTGCGAGTGTGGTGCCACAGGTCGCCCATCGTGCCTATGCATTCCAAATCACACCGACTTGCATTGATCGTCTTTTCCAGCTCATTACGTTTCTCCATACACCGAGGGAGAGAATGTTAAATTTACGCCTATTCGAGACGGGAGTGCAATACATGGATCTACGAAAATATATGTACAGTTTGGTCCGCACCAAGTTATGATCAGTGCGACACTCAGCTCCACGCAGTACACGTGTTATGCGCACTTCACGCATATCACGCTGACGTACGATGATATACTCCAGCAGGTGAGGGTGACCACTCCGTGGGTGCGTCCAAGTTTCTATATTACTCGCACTCAGTGCAAACCGAGTGTTTGTGATCGTCAGGCTGTGAGTGGCACACAGTGAGAGCAGCCTGTCACTGTTCGCATTCGCTGAACCAATGCCTTGCGGACCGATGACATCTGTCCACACCGATGCATCACGCCCAACGCGCGCGCTGAAATCACCCAGCAGAAATAGTCGGTCTCTCCTCGACACGGACCGTATCACGGAGGATAGCTGAGTGTAGGATTGATCACGCATGTCATCAGGATGACACATGATCAGACCGTATCTGCTTGTAAAAGTCGTAAGCAAACAGTTATCAGTCGTGTGCTGATGCCCGTTGCTTCACCCACCAGCTGGCCATGGAGGCGATCGGATATTGCAAATCCGACCCCATGTTCACGTGGTGCTGAGGTGGCGTTGCCCATCCAGTAAAATGTGTAGCCGGCACCAGCTTCATGCAACTTACCTTGCTCAGCGAGCCGGGTCTCAGTGAGCGCCGTAATATCGATGTTGTACTGCGCTAATTCCATCGCGACGAGCGCAGTTCGTCGCTCTGGGCGCTCACTCGGGTTCCGGTTCAGTAGTGTGCGCACGTTCCAACACCCGATGCTGAGTACTTTGCTCGCAGAAATACGATTGCATTGGTTTTTAATCGCACACTTCGTGATCGCGGTTATTCTTCGGAGGTTTGCTTGAGGGCTCCACTCAGAGCCTTTGGCTCAATAGACCGACCAACTATGTTGTGCGGGATTTGGCGGTTTGCTTGAGGGACTCCGCTGTGAGCCTTTGTCTCAATAGCCTGACCCACAAATCAGTGGGGAGCAGCTCCAGCTCGGGAATGTAGTTGCGGAGACGGATTGGGATCCGCTTGATTTTCGTCACACGCGGCCTTTGAGGCACTGGAACGAGTCATATATGTTTTGCGACCGTGGTAGGATACGCACCTGCGACCACGGCCAGACGCAGAAGGCTTTTGGCGGATTTGTACAAATTTGACCAGGAGCTGCCTGGCTTGAGTCGGGCAGCAGAAAACGATTGAACAGCCGGAGGTGCCCTCCCACCGTCAGAGACAGGCGTGATGCTCGTGCTCTACGCCAATCGATTTGTGAACTTGTAATCCGTAGACCTGTTGTCTCCCTTGGCTAGGTTTCACGGGATGAAAGCCATCGACCACTTCCTAACCTCCACAGTGGATGGACTTGGGTACTGGCAGGGCTCCCACATCTGACAGGAGAACGACTCGGGTCCTCAGCCAATGCCTTCGATTAAATGTACACCCGAATGACATCGGATCTAGCACAGGGTCAGTTCACTGACTCATTAGGATTGGTATCCTGGATCTTAGCACGGATAAGGGCGTAGCCCAACTCCTGCCTAGCGGTCACCACGTGGAGGCGTGCAGGACATGAGCAAATGGCACAACGGTATCAGCAGTGAGTATGGAATCTGTCAGGACATAGCCACCATCAGTTTCAGCGCACCATGGTCTCTCACGCTATATATATATATATATATATATATATATATATATATATGTGTGTGTGTGTGTGTGTGTGTGTAAAGGCTGGGACTCCTGGGCCCGACGAACTTCTCTTCTGATAAATTGCGTACGTACGTTGGATAAGGGCTATTCAACACAGTTGAGAAGCTGATGTGGCGCCTTTAGACTGATGACTATCAACTGTCTTGCGCATCTTCAAGAAAGGTTAACGGACCTGGGCGAGACATTAGCCTTTCCATTATCCCCAATCTTTTCACGGGTTTCGTTCTTCAACGACTCACCGGTCGTGGTTGCTTCGACCACATATGTACTCTTCAACAACTGTTAAAGCAGAGACTCATACAGACGACCGACTATGATAGTTTTCCTTGACCTGTTAGCAATCTTGGATTCTGTTGATGGTACCAGCATTGCCTTTTCATGAAAAGTTTTCCAGCTAAGCTTTCCATTCTGAAGTTTATCTGCTGTGATTCTCGAGGCCCTGTAAGGGTCTACCAGCGGCTGTCTTCTGAGTTCCCAGCGGCAAGGGGGTTCGCCAGGGTTGTCCTATATCTCCTTACTTCTTCAACTTTGTGATCGGACTGATTATGTATGACCCTACGGGAGTGAAGGTTCTGCCACGCGACCGACTGACAGAACCCTGAGTATGCGATCGACATAGTTCACTTTGGTTCTGATGCATTGGCTGTGCAAACGCTACTGGGTAGACCGACGCGTGGCGCTGCATGTTTCGGCACCTGGTTCGCACCTTCAAAGTACAAATTGCTTGCATGACTGGGCGGACGCGCCATCGGTTTTAGCTATCAAGGAACGCCCACTGGAAGTGACCATTCGGTTCACTCCTCGGTAGCTGTGTCACATCTGGTAGTCATCAGTGAAGAGATTACTTCTCGTATCATCAAGGCCTGTGTGGCTTTTCAGAGACTCAGTCATGTATGGACACGGCGGGATATCAGCTTATCAGTGGAAGACCGGTCTTATTATATGGATTAGAGACTTCATCAGTTCGCAGCGAAGATATTAAGCGCTTGGCGGTGTTCGACCACCGGTGCCTGCGGAGTATTGCTCACATCTGGTGGGAACCTCGAGTGAGCAATGTTGAGGTCCGCCCGATATTTTAGCAAGAAACCTTCCGGTGCCTCAGTCGAATGCTTGTCGAGTCTTGACCACTTTGGGTACGTCACGCCGTCCATATGCTCGTTGAGCGGCTTCCTCGGCGTGCATTGTACGTCGTGGTTGCACCAAGTTCGATGAAGCCACGAGGTGGGCAGTCCATGACGTGGCATAGAGGCATGAGGAATTTGACTGAGAGACTCGGTCAGGCTGGTGCCGTCTTCGTGGAAGGGGGTCTCGGGATGGTCCACACCGGTTGTTGGCGATTCTATCAGATATGGCGTAGTCAGTGGTATTCCTGTGCTCTGTTTCTTGCATCTAGCTGTTACTCCTCCTTGCTTCACGGTTAGTCTTGCGTTCTTCTGTCCTGATTTTCTACTTTATTAATCGTTGTGCTTTCAACTTCGTTTATTTGCAGCTTTTGTATTGCTATCCTGGTGAGGTGAGGCCTTGTAACTGGATCCACAGTCTGTGATAACGTAACCTAGCTATTATGGTGAACATGAATTGCCACATGATAGCTGCGCCTACAGAGAGAATGCGTAGTACCTGCGCTGTTATCTGTAGCTACTTTCACTCATCCGGTGTCTGGCGTAAACCCGAATAAACAAGGTTTAAAGAAATGCACGTTGGTAGATGGGTCACGATGGATACGGAGCCGGCACCCATTACCTCACCACATCCACTTCCAGTGTAAAAATATCGAACAACAAGTCTATGAGACGAACACAAGTTGCTGTTGCGGTGTTATTCGATTCTTTGACAAAGCTATTTTCAGATCCTATAGTGATTTCTGATGTTTGTCGTTTCGGATAGCAGCACTCGAGGCGGTGGCATCAAACTAAATCCACTCGACATCCGTATCCCATGTCTTCTGCGAATGCAACTTCGTTTGTCGATTCTTGATCTGACCCAGTAGTTTGAATAAGCAGGATACGGACAAGAACTCCACACCTTACCACCCCTTTCCTTTATCACCCGAAAAAGTCTGGGGAGACGTTTAGTAGATACGCAAGAACAGTTTTGCCATAGCGGCACACAGTTTTTATCTGGACTGATAATGGGAGACATGCGGTCAGCGACAGCAACCCTAGGTGGATGAACGTACGGTGTTTAGCAAATTGTATATGAAAAAAAGCTAGTAGGTAATTAGAGTGGTCAATCGGAGTCGCTTGGTAGGTCTGTGGGAAAGAACAAGGCAGCTTGTCGGACGCGCTCAGAACAGACGCTGCGGTAATAGTCATCTCTTTATTTACTTGCGCTTGGAGCTGAATGCCGTTTCCGTTCCTTTGGGATCTCTTCCCACTGTACCCATTCCGAGCCACACGTAGTTTTGTTCTATTTTATTCCTGCATACTGTTGACTTTAACTTATCTTTACCAGCGATTATGACTTATAGTACACTTCGCCTTATCAGCCAAGGCTTATGCGATCGGTTCTCAAACCAGTTCAGCATCGAGGCCTTATTATGGCGCGCGATGTGTTGGCCAATTATAACAATTCATTCACTATTCTACAACTGTGTCCCCACCCAACTGATCTGTATCTATTCGCTTTCCATTTCCAACTTCAGATCAACGCCCTCATCTATGCGAACATTGTGAGAAATGTTTTTCTCGGAAAAGCAATTTGAATTTACATCTCAGAGCTGTTCATTCGGGTGGGTTTGAAACTGGATACTATTCACTTTTGTTTTGTCGCATGCGTTGTAGTTAGTCAACCATGCCATTTGTGTCTACAGAGTGGGTTAGTTGGAGGGTCAAGTTTGGACTACACGTTGTGTGATTGGATTGCGACGCGCAATCTCAATGTAATGGACTGTGGTTCACATTGAAGTGAACCTTAGTCACGGCGATCACTGGGACCGTACTCAAAGCAGATGGAAATTGGGTGTTGCCCACTCGAAAACACTGGGTTAGTGTTTCCTCGACTCAGTTGCATCTTGCGCCGCTGTGTTCAGTATTTCTTTAATACGCTTAGTTTGATGAACCTAAGATATTGTCTGGTTCTTCATGCACCCATGGTTGCAGTTTATGAGTTCACTCCCTTTATTTCCTACTAAACTATATGATTATCCGTTGATATAACAAAAACTCAACCGCACACTAATTTTCGTTTATATCATGTTCTCTTCTCTGGTGGTAATGTACACTCTCCTAATGGCACCACAATGTACCATAGCTTTTAAAAGTCACCAGTCTTCAGGACTTCTGGGTGATTCACTAGGGGATTGATTGCATATAGTTCACACTCATTCTCCTTGGCATCTGTCCCTAGTTTTAACATTTACCGTTATTGAAGGCACAGGCACAGGACAAATGAGCCTACAGGGAGATCACATAAGTGGCTGGCGCTGTGTCACCCACGCATACAGTGTCTTGTGCAAACTCCAAATTGCTGTAATACATTCATTTTTTTAAGGCAGTCAACTTCCGTAAAATTACATCTGTAGATTTTGTCAGAACTACTAAAGCGCAGCACTTTACCTATATCGTTTCACTGGTGTCACTTCCTCTTGCTTTGAACACATGTTTCTTTTCGTTTTCCTTCGCTTAGTTGGTTGCGAGCTAATTAAGCCATTGAACCTTTTCCGTTCCTTCTTAGCCAATGTACGTTTCAAAAAGCTCAGTCACTAATTCTTCCGGTTGAGCGGCGATCAATCGTCTGTTTGTGCGCAATCACGCTTCCGGCAGAAGGTCTTGCTTTTTCTTTGGGACTTTGGAGCAATTAGGAAGCCTGCGACCCGAGTGATTATTTGAACCGATTCCAATCCATCTCACGTTTGGAGCCGACGCACGCTTTCGCAAGGGCTTTTTATCCCGAGTAGCGGCTATTGTGGTGACAGGACTACACCCAAACAGTATACGTCGATGGAAGGCAGATCTCAAACATGCAACAATCCGCATGCATGCGTGTGTTCCGCTCCGAACTGCAGTGACACATCACGCGTCGCATCCGTTTGGACTGATACACGTTTGTCCATGCAATTATCAATGTATCTGCACCACCGACGCATTATATCCGCATACTGTGTGCCTGATTCATTGTTTTTCAGATTCTTCGTCTATTGCTTCCAAGAAACAATGGAACCCCTAGTGTTGCTGGCTTATTGCGTTGCCTAACTTTTGCGTACACGACATATTTTTGTCCCACTGAGCTATCTATGTTCTTTCCGACATTCCTTGGGACATATTCATATACAGCACTTGGTTGATTATTAGTGAATAATAGGGTATTTCTTGTTTCTGTACATAGTCGCAGCTTGACGGCCACCACAGATCGTCGGTCATCCTCCAGCTAGCTAAATTTCTGCTCAACCAGAGCGCTATTATCTAAGACCTAACCGGCAAATCTTTTCAGTGATGCTATGTTATTCGTTGGACATTTCTCTTTTGTTGCTGTCACGTCACTACTCTTTTATCATGTTGATGACATGGGTGTTACGGCTGAAGATTCTCTCATCATTGATGCATTAAAACGCATTCTTGACTGAACCCGTTTGTCACATTGGGTTTACTCTGATAGAAAGCAGGTCGACAGGTGACGAAGCGGCAAATGTGTGTGTGTGTGTGTGTGTGTGTGTGTGTGTGTGTGTACATATTGCTGGATTTTGTGTCCCAACAGTACTAACTCTTCACGGTGCCATATCTATGCACGTGTTTTGTAGTGCGAACTTGATAATATGCAGAGGATGATGTCCGGTTTGCTTGAGATTTCATCGGGAAAGATGCTTCAGCTATGAAGCTGCACATGTCTTATCGATTGTTAGGTATTTGTCAAGCTTTTAATAATAGTCATACTCCAATATGTTGGTGCGGATGTCGGACGACGTTTTGTTCCATATTCTGGAGTTCCATTCTGAAAAAGGTTTACTGATATGCTTGTCTTTGACATTATTGCGCTACGAAATTCTCCTCATTATGTGTATTTTGTAAACAGCTGGCTTTAGAACTGGCAGATTTATGCTCGAAGTGCGTACTTTTCCGTTTAGCATATTGTAGAACGGCGCTAGGCCTATCTACCGTGTTCATATTGGACCAAGTTTAAGTAAACCAAATCGCTCAGGGTAGAGTCAGGATAAGCAGCGCCTATGTTGTTCAAAGTGAACGCTCGCTGCACTTGTTCTATGGCGACGCTGTCATACTTCCTTGTGTTGCTGTTTGACCTCGAGCAGTATTCATCTACTGGGTGAGCATACGAGTCGTACATTGAACAAAGCGAATCCCGTAAAAAGAGATTTCTGAATAGTAAGGGGATACGCTGTTCTCCCCTAGCTGATGCACAATACGCTTGTTCTGGAAGTTAGCGACGGGTGAGTAACGAAGCCGCGGGTCACAAATCAGTTTGCCATCAAGGATCATGACATTGTAGCTAATCCAACGTGTGTATGAAATGACGCTGCATTTGTTACTAGCAGACAACACATTCCACGTGATGCACCAAGTTTCAGGTGCATGGATGTCGAGCTAGTTTTTGTTGGCGATCACTGAGGATGGGAGTGTGTGAACGAGAGATACCGAAGTGTGAATAGCGCTGTGGACATTGCGCAGCGACCATCTAATCCTGACTTGCGGTGGCCGATGAAGGTTTTGTGGCCTGTAGAAGTAGATGCACTCATGAATGTCTTAGTTATGTTTCAGCAATCAGTACCATTAGTGTGTTCAAGGACGTAAGTGTAGTAGGGCAATAATTTTGTTTCTGGATTAGTGTGCATCAATGAGCAGAACATGCGAGACAGCTCTGATACATGTTACAGTACTGATACGGATGTTGTCTCTGTATCAGTTACCCGGCGCTCAGGAATCGTTCTAAAATTATCTGATATGCAATGATAAACATTTGTCTTCATGGAAGTCGGGTATCGGCGTGACACAATCGGGTATACTTCTACACCATTGCGACGAGACTGAACTTTAACGTGGTGCGATGGTTTGTGTGCCTCACTTATCTATTGAGCCATGCTAGATGGTGCGTTCTGCACGTTCAGAACCATTATAGCAAATTGGTCAATGGTTAGAGGCCAGACAAACTCCGTCTCCTCGTCATCCAGTTTGAGAATAGGAGTGAGTGTGACTCCCTATCCCATAACACGGAATCTCTGTAGTTCTTCTGTCTTGCCCTCAGGTTTTTGAACCAAAGGCCTTGGTTGAGAATCCTAATCATTTTTTGTCCAGGACTGAGCAATCCGACGGTATCCTGCCCATACGATACAATACTTTGCACTTCCCTCCATACGATTTTTTATGCTCTCTACCGCAGAGGCTAAGTAACGCCTCCCTGTCTGCTGCATCGTTCAGGGTGGAGGGGGTGGATGTGCTATTATCCAAGCCTTCTCGTCTTATTACTTCCTCTCTTGTACTTTTTCATCCTTACTGTATCGTTCCAACTTCAAGAACCAGCCTGATCTCAATTACCTCTATGTTCCTTGCCTATGTCGTCCTCCATAGACTGACTGACACCCATGACTGCCAGGTTTACGAGGAGCAAGACGTTTCGTCGCCATCGAGGCTGTGTTGAGCACATCTTCACTTTACCTCAGTTGTTGGAATACCGCCACATTTATTGACGACCCACCGTAATCATGTTTCTCGACATCAAAGGTGGCTTCCATTCGGTGGATCGATGTGCCCTTTGGGACTCAGGAAAGGTGTGCCCGAGAATTATGTAATTATCAGAGCGCTATGCAAGCAGAGTGAGGGCTTACGGCAAACTGTCGCCGCCCTTAAATATATCCTACAGAGTGAGATAAAGTTGCCCGCTATCACCTTTCCTCTTTAACATCGCCATTGACGAAGTCATGGAAACTACATTCACTGTTTACTGGGTATGTAGCTGCTTTCTGGTGACCAATTTTTTGAGTTGGAGCACGCAGGCAACATTGCCCTAATCTGTGACAGCTTCCGAACATGCCAAGTATCACTAGATGAATTAGCAGTGGTTGTCTGTCGTCTTGGTCTATGCTATGCAACATCGAAATGCAAATTCCTTCCCCATGATTGACATGGACCTACCTTTGCGCCGATCCTTGGTGATTATCAGCCAGACGTCCAGAAATTCGAATATCTAGGCAGCCATACCAGCAGCAGTAGAATGCAAGATGAGGTCACGAACCGTATAGCGAAAGCTCGATGCGCTTTTGCCACTCTCCGTCACCTGTGGCGCTGATGCGACATCACTCTCACCCTGAAGGGGAGAGTTTATCATGCAGCCGTCCATCCAACCTGCACGGTTGCGAAACCTGGCCTATTAGGTCGACAGACATAAAGGGGTTAGTTACGTTCGCCCATCGCTGTCATCGCAGCTTAACTCATGTCTGGTGGATGCACCAGGTGAACAATGAGCGCGTTCGGCGTCCTGTATTTGGCGCAGGAAGAGTGAGTGAACTGCTCAGCACTGTTATATCACGCATTAGGCTCCGATGGCTGGGCCACATGTTACGCATGCCAGCCCACCGACTCCCGTGAAGTGCGTTGTTTGCGCGCTGGGGGATGCGGATGGAAGAAGAGGAGGGGTGACCAAGGGATGACTTGGTGAGGAGGAATGAAGTCCCTCACTTACAAGTTGGCGTCGGTTGTCGTGTGCCGACTGCCTGGCCGCGGAGCGAATGTCAGTGAGCATCTTTGGTGGATACGTTTGTTGACATGGCGACAAGCCGATCTCATTGACGTTTGTGTTGAGTTTCATTGTCTCGCCCCCTCCCATTTAGCTTCCCCCTCCAACAGCAATCTCATACCCAATGTCTCGTATTATATTTGGCGTTATATTGCTTTTTAGTTTTTGCAGTCTGTAGTGTTTAACATCTTATCCTTTTTGTACTCCGGAAGATTAAATGAGGTGTGTTTCTCACCCTCAGCTAACCTGTGTTGGTGATGTTGATTGTTGTATTCCAACAAGCGCATTAGGCCTATCTGCAAACCAGCCTCTGCAGCAGTACGCCGAACCAGCAAGATTTGTCAGTTAACTCACTCAGCAATGATGCTGATGTATACTGCTACAAGGTCCTATGGTAGGGGCTATACATCCTTGGGTGCAAGGAATAATTTGCGGAATCTGTTGGTTTATAAGTGACAATGTAGTTGTGAGGTGTGGTACTGTGCAACGTTGTCCATTTGTTCCTGCAGCCAGCATTCCTTTGATTAGGTTCTATGAATGCTGTAAGACAGTATGCGAAATTCTCCAGGAGATAATAAATACGTTTCGGCCGTTATTGACCCACGTACTCTCTATGAGGCTTTTAGTTCCTTCCTTGTTTACATTCTCCTAACAATTGTCCCCATATCTTCCTGACCGCAGCTTACAACAACAAGCGACGTAGTATTTGTCGAGCTATGCATTCGGAACATATGGCTGCTTATAAAGTCCATCCAAGCGTCGTTCATGCTGGATTGCGATGGAATTCCCCAATCCACCATTAAATTAGAGGGGCGTGACCGACTACTATTTTGAATAAATATGTTTACCTTATTGCTAGAATCTGGACATATCCGGATCAGTAGAACACATCATCTATTATCGTATGGAGGGCCATTTGGAGTACACGTTGTGTGATTGGATTTCGACGCGCAATCTCAACGTAGACCGCGATTCACATTAAAGTGAACCTTGGTCACTGGGCCCCCGTAGCTGAAGCAGATGG